GAAGAACTTTACTTTTCTCCAGGCTAAACCTTCAGCATCATTGATCTCATTCTCTATCAATCCCTCTTCAATCGTTGCATTTCCTGCTCGATCACGTAATCCTTCTGCACATCCTGTCGTTCCTTGTGTCAATCTCGAACTATCAGTGTTAGTTTGGGCTTTTTCATAAAAGTCAAGTGCTTTCAGTTTTGGTTTAACAGGTTTGACACAATCGGAAAAGTGTTAGTTTGGGCTTCTTGGTTGTGAGATTTGAAAACAGGATTTGACCTAGAAGCTAACCTGAAGTTGTTTAAAGTTAACAACTGATTAAAACAACAAAAGATAATTGGTATGCTCTTTTTCCCCCATTTCTCTTTAACGATATGATCTCTTAGTAGTAGGAGACAAATGATCAAGTTGAAGTTGATCTTGGGAAGCCAATTTAAAGGTTCCTACTTTCTGTATTTCAGTGTACAACCGGTAAGCATTGAATCAAGTGATTCTAGTGGCTGAAAATAAGGCTGGCCAGCTTGGGTGTAAAGAGCTGAATATGGGTTACAACCATTACATGAATAGTGAAAAAATAGCTAGAAAGGAAATCTGGAATTTGCAAAGAAATCTATAACTAAATTTAAATTTAAGATTCCAAGTACTAGAATTTAGGGACCAAATGTAAGAGCAGGAAGAGTGGAAGAGTCTAGCTTTTTTGTTGAGCAAGAATTAACTTATTAGCTATATCAAGCATACACCAAAGTAGGGGTGGTGTCAATCGACCGGTTTTGGTTTGGATCCAATCCGATCCAAACCTTACCAAATCGGATTTGGACAGTCCATTATAATTATTGGATTGGGCCAATCCAAAACAAATTGGTCCATAATTGGTTTGAATTAGACCTAGACCAAATTTCCAATAATCCGATCATGAGGCCAAACCCTTGTCCAATTTGAAATCAATCAAAACTGAAAACAGCATAAAATCGCTTTATGAAAGTACTTTTACGAAAGCACTTTTACAAAAACATTTTTATAAAAGCAGTTTTATAAAAGTACTTTCATGAAAAGTATTTTTATGAAAGCACTTTTATAAAAATACTGTTACAAAAGTAATTTTATGAAAGCACTTTTACAGTAGTTTTATAAAAGCACTTTTACAAAATCACTTTAATAAAAGCACTTTTACAAATGTACTTTTATGAAATCACTTTTACAAAAAACTTTTATGGAAATACTTTTATGAAAGCACTTTTATAGAAGTACTTTTATAAAAGCACTTTTATGAACGCACTTTTATGGAAGCACTTTTAGAAAATCACTTTTATGAAAGAACTTTTACGAAACCACTTTTATGAAAGTACTTTTACAAAAGCACTTCTACAAAAGTACTTTTATAAAAGTCTATGGAAGTACTTTTGGAAAAGTGCTTTTATGGTAAAAGTACTTTTTTACAGAAGCACTTTTCTGAAGTACTTTCAATAAAGTGCTTTTGTAAAAACACTAATGAAAATATTTTTATCAAAGTATTTTTACAAAAGTGCTTTTTCAATGCTAAAAGTGCTTTTATATAATTTTTGATATTTCATTCAGTTCGGATTGGATCCAATCCAATCCATTTACATTTTAATGGATTGGATTGGATTTGGTTTGTATTGGATTTGGACTGGATTGGGTCCAGTCCATTTATAAGTGGACTCACATTGGACTAGATCGGGTTGGGCCAAATCCGTCCAATTGACACCTCTACACCAAAGCACATAGGATTTAAAGAAACTTTTTTTTTTATTGAAAGGACCTTCTAGTAAGTACTTAATTAATTTCCATTAGAAATCAAAAGGAAAAATCTAGAAGGTTTTATTGCCTTGTTCCACTGTCCCATTCAAGGTTTTAAAAACCAACCTGAAGATAGAACCACTTTGGCCACTGGTTTCGGGGTCAAAGGTTCAACCGTTCAACCCATTGAGCTAAACATAATTTGTATATTATATCATGGCCTTTAGATTAGAATGTTAGGGTTAGATGGGATAGTTATATATGCATATTATTAGAGGAGATAAGAGAATGAGAAGGGTGTTTGAGAATGAAAGAAAGGAGGTGATGGAGACGACAATGGTGATGATGGCAACGGTTTCCTCTTCCCCCCACTAACCAGTCAAACTCTCCTATTTTTTGTCATTTACTTCTTAAAAAATAATTTTGTTTTTTTATTATTGAACCATGAACTGCTGCCTGGGTCGAATGGTTTAGCGGTTCAACCATCCAGATCAATGGTTTTGGGAAAAGCCCGGCCAGGTATAAAGCAGAACTGAACAAGTAACTGGTTCCTGAGTTGAACAGTTTGACCACCCGGGTCAATGACAGTTTTAAAACCATGGTCCCATTAACCTATGAATAGATTGTTGCAATGTAAAACATATTCATAGCTTGAGCCAACATCTCTATGACTAGGAACAAAATAGCTAGTAAATATTTTTATCTTGATTGCCACAGAGGTACACTAAAACACTTGAAACAAACTAGATACTAAGACTTGCTCAAGCATTGAGAGAATCAGAAAATTTAGAGCCCAAGGATAACCTATGGAACAGGGGTTAAGTTAGCAAGAGATTGGAACTTCAACAGATTGATCATTGAGGGGATTCTAAGCTGGTAGTTGGCTGGCTGAAAGACCTGGACACTGTAATTTGGACTTCTAGAGACTTAGAGAGGACACAGAGATTTAAGTGGCTAACTTCCAATATAGTGGTGAGGATCCAATGGGAAAGAAAATGGGCTGGCAGACATGGTTGCTAAACAGGGGGTGAATAGGGATCATTTGTATTTAGGCATAGTTGTAATTATATGTTTGTTTGAGGCTGCATCTCATGCCTCTTCTTGAGATGTTTTTACTTTCCTGACCTGAAAGAGGCATCTCATGCCTCTTCTAGAGTCAATTTATCAAAAAAAAAAAAAAGCGATAATCCGTGGAACCAAATACATCTTTCTGTCATAGTTGCCATCTGTGAATGTTTCAGATTGTTGGATGGTTAACTGGGCAGTCTGGACTACAAACACTTTATATGACACAGAATGTCTGACCACAACTAAAGTGCACAAATTTAAGAATTTCTTTGATTGGTATGAATAAATTTAAGATTCATCCACTAGATTGATTTGCATCAAGTTATCTTATTATGAAGTTGCATGTAGTTCATGGAGGGATAAATTGCTCTAGACATTGGCATCTTAACAAAATGAGAAATACAAAATCCAGTCGCTTCCCAACCATGAATAGGTGAACTAGGCAGGATGCTTTTCTGTGGAACAATATACAACTGGTCTAATGCTTTCTCACTACTCTTGTAAAACAATGCCTGTATAAGCATTAGTAAGCAAGCTTCATTAAGGGCTATTTCGTGGTGCAATGGTAAAGTCTTGGGCTGACGAGTATGGGACGTTCAAGTAGTTCCATATCCAGCTCCCCTCCCCCCAGAAAAAAAAAAAAAAAACTTAAAAAAACCTGGAACTATTTGGAATTCTTTAATTCCTTTCTTGCATTTTATTTGAGGAATTGAATGGTCCTATCATTTGATCCGTTATCCAGTGACCATGGTTTTGTGTCTGGTTCAATTCTGACAACATTGGTTAGGACTAGCATGTGTAAAGGCTTCAAGCACTTCTTACATGTATTGTGAGATGTTTAAGCACATCTCACATTCTTTTAAAAGTTGAATGAGCATTTGAACAGTTCTGTCAGTTGGTGATTACCATAGACATCACTAGTCGTTGTCAGGAAAAGTTTTAAATATTTGTACTTCCACTACCATTGAACAATATGCATAGTTTTGCAAGTCATTGCCATACCATTTGACCTTTCAGATTTGTAGGATGTTCATTGATTTAAGTTCGAGTTACCCATTCACAGGAGTAGACTCCCTTGGTTTGAACTGAAGTCTAAATCGATGGATAATTGGACATAGAAGTTGCTTCCTGGCACAGAAACTGGAGACTCCAGATCATCATCATCATCCAAGCCTTATCCCAACTATATGGGGTCAGCTACATGAATCCTGTTTTGTCAGTCCGTTTTGTTTAATGCCATATCCATTGTTAAATTGTTGGTGCTTTAATCATTTCTTACTATTTCTATCCATGTTCTTTTTGGTCTACCCCTTGCCCTTCTAGCCCCTTTAACTTGTAATAAATCACTTCTTACAGGTGTTGTTGGAGCTACTACTAAGTTCTAGTATGATTTCATTTCTGATCCTATACTTTTAGTTTTTCTACTCATCCATCTTAGCATATACAATTCTGTCACACTCACTTTCTGGACATGTTTCTTGACTGCTCCAACACTCTGCTCCATACAACATAGCTGCTGCCCTTAAAACTGTTGTATAGAATTTTCCTTTTAATCTAAATGGTATTTTCCTATTAGAAAAAACTTCATATGCACCCCTCCATTTAGCCCATCATGCTCTAATTCTGTGGTGACATCCTCCTCAATCTCTTTTGTAGTCTTGTTATGAATTATCAAACCAAGATACCAAAAAAGTGTACCCTTTTCACCCCATTTTTATTAAATTTACATGCCATATATTCAATTTCAGTCCTACTTTAAAACTTCTTGTTTCTAAGGCTTTTGTCCATAAGCTTAAATTTGCATTTAATCCTTTGTTAGTTTCATCAGTTAAAATGATGTCATCAGCAAATTGCATGCACCATGGGACCTCCTCCTGAATCTTGAGTGTCAAACTGGAGACTTCAAATATGGATCTTAATTGGGAATCTTGAATGTCAAAATGACTATATATGGTAACAAGTGTTTCACCGGCTCCATGTCACAGTGACACTAATAGCAGCTCCTTTCGTTTTTTAGCTAAAGCATCAATGTCTTTTTTTTTTAATTTTAAGAATATCAAAGCTAGAATGTTGTCATTTTATCTTTTTACTATTCATTCCTGCACTTCTGCACCTTTGCAAGCTAGTTATTTCCTTAGTATCAACAGAATTGGATTTTTTTGCTGAAAAGTTGGATTATATTTCAGATGGTAGCTGAACACATTACATACCACACGTTGCAAGGCGAGAATGTACTCCAAGTTGAGGTCTCAATGCCCGTTGACTTGCTAATCCGGTAAATCACACCTTCAGAGCTAGCTAATATTTTTATGCTAATGTTGTTTTTGGTCAAATTATTAAAAGTTTTGGTCTTTGTTTCTTCACCCAGAGATGCAGCAGAGGTGGCGAAAGAAGCACAAAAGGAGATTCTGAAGGCAGCTCCTAATGTTAACCAAGTGAGCATCCAACTAAGGTTGGGGCGTCCAACCCCAGAACACTGTGAATCGCGAGGTGACACTCAGTTGTAACCAAAGCCTTTTGCATTCTTTTTAGGTAAAACTAGTTTTTCCCTGGTGGGAATTTGAACATATAATTTATATTTTAAATTCATATATATATATATATATATATATTACTTGAGGAGTTAGGGAATGTTCCAAATAAATGAAAGCACTGGTGTCTAATAAAAGAGGAGTACTAGGAAGCACAAGGTCGATCGTTCTAGTTTTTCCCTGTGCACCAGAACAGAGACCTCACTTCCCCACTTGGGAGATGTTAGGCAGGCACCTCACCTCTCCAAAGTGTAATAATGAGGTTGCGAACCTTGGCTTGGGATGCTAACAGGTTAGGTTTGCCTTAGTCAATGGGATTACCAAATCCAACCCGACCATACAGGTTTCTAATCAAGATACTGACCCAATCCTACCTGTGAAGACTGAAGAATACCCTTATTCCTACTTAGGGTGGGTCATATTTATAGATTTTTTCAATTTAACTGTATCACCTGTTATGCAAGTTATATAAATATTTCATTGTACAAATTTGCCATTGTTGTGGATTCATAGAAGTTATAAACATAGTAATATCTCTCTATTCATGTACCTTACAAGGTGATCGAATTGCATATACACCAAAGTATCTTCATGACCAATAACATCATCGCATATTAACACCTAGAACAAATTAGAAAGGAAAGCGAGGATAAGGCTTAGGGGTGCCAATGGGTTGAGTTAGGTGTTGATGAGCCTGAAAATCTGAAATAGGTTAGGTTCATGAGTCCGATTCTGCTCCATACACCAACCTCACAGAATGTCCTGGCTGCACATCGGGAACATCTCTCTTGTATTCAAGGTTTAAAGTATTGATGTGCTCATGTGAATCGGCAGAGGTGTATTGGTACTCAAAGTCAAAACCATGCGTGTTTCTATATTTTTAGTTTTTGTTTTTCATAAATTGGTTTTGTGGATGTCTTTAAGTTAAAAAAAGAGGGTTCTCGAAACAACTGAAAACTGGCACTTGGGATATGAATGATATGCCCAATACAGGGTGTATTGTATCAAAATTGGTGCGATGTGGCTGTGGGTTCGGTGTGAGGAGTATATCCCAATTCTAAACTGAACTCAAGTATCACCTGACCTGATATCAATGCAGGTTTATCAGTCTATCAACATCTCTACTTAGGCGGTCTTTGGGGGCGTAAACTGGCACTTGGGATCTGATGCTTGTACTTCTGTGTAATACTTGCTATATAACCGATCAAGAGTGAACATGCCATTGTTTTTGTACAGAAACCCACATGTCGGTGTACTAACACTGGTGTGTTTACTCGCAATTGGTTATGTAGTAAATACACAGGTGCGAGCAGCAGCCAGCAGATCCAAGCTAGTAAACTGGTAGCTTTCATAAGCAGCACTTCTGTCTATCACTCGCTATGTAATCAATCAAAAGGGTGAACATGCCATTGATTTTGTACAGAGACCGAGAGACCCACACGTCGGAGTTCTGAACACTGGTCTGTTTACAGAGGTGTGAGCAGCAATCAGCAAATCCAGGCTGGTAAACTGGTAGATTAAAATTTATCCAGGCTAGTAATATTAGAATTTCTTGAGGGGATGGTACTTGTTTATATTATGATTTTGATTTTTAATGGCAGCATTTGAGGAATATTTAAGGCTTAAAGATGCATGTTAAATTACTAATTTACTATTGCATAATGCAAACATTGAAAAAATGCAGTGCTAAAAACCATTCAATGCTAAAAACCAAGAAAAGATGAATTCTTTTTTATTTCTTTTGAAGGGCTACATTTCCCAACCTAGGTGTAGGTGGGATTTGATCCCAAGTCTCTGCTACGATATCTGCTAAGACAAGCAAGAGACCTTAGCAATCAGCTGGTTGGAACCTTGCAACAATTTAAAGATGGTGTAACGGATAGAAAAGATGAATTCTGCTTACAAGATAAAATGGCTGAAATTTGTCCATAACCATAAAGTAGTTCCATTCGAAGCTGGGTTTTAGCTTTTTAGAGATAAGAAGCCAAAAAGTCCAATGAAGAAGCTCAGCCAAATGCAGGTAAAAAATAATATATATATATAGAGAGAGAGAGAGAGAGAGAGTTTGGCCTCCAAGTAATCCTACGTGCATGTGTAAATAATGTTATGAATATATAATGAATGTGCTAATAATTTTAAAGTTAAAAGCTGGATGTATTTGTGTAGTATAAGCAAGACCTATATAATGTTAAAAGTTAAATCTAAATAGCTGACCTGCAGTTACCAAAGTGAGAATAATTTATTTAGAAACAAAAATAATAAATGGGAAAAGAAACAAAGTTAACCTCAACCCAATCCTACCTTTGGGTTGGGTAGGGCAAGGTTAGGCTCATAGGGTCAAGGTTGATACACATCGGATTATGATATGTGTCGATTCTAAGGGTCACTGTACATGGAATTTGGGTTTTTTAAGAAATTTAAATAATAATAATCAATATAAAATATTTATTTAAAATTTATCAAATTGAAAAATATAAAAAATTGAGTAACTCAATACTTAAAACTTGGGCTTCAAAAATAAAAATACCTTAAGTTAATATGATGCCAGTGTTAAATAATATCTTTGATTTTGTCTTTCAAAACAAACTGCCGAAACAGCAAAAATTTGTACACCCCTAAAATGTTTTAACTTTTAATTTTGATGTAACCAATTCATTTAGAATCAGATAAAAATTTCTTTTGAGGGTTTTATGAACAATTGTCATATTTATACAATTGAATAATTTGGCACCTACAATGTTTTTATTCAAAAACAACCAGGGCAGGAAATTGTTTTTTGTGAATGTTTATTTAATCTTGTATTGACAGATTACAACACAACAATAAGTCCTCAAAATCAAATCAAAATAAGGGTCATAGAATTTATATAATTTATGGAATACACATGTTAAGAACCATTAATTAGAATTTCATTAACATGCTTTTGGTTTGAAAGAAATAAATCAAAACATATTTTTTGTGATGTTGCGTTGACAAAGAATCAGATGGGTTTGATTTATTTTTAAAACAAGGACAATAAAAATTTCGGCACTTCTATGAAACCTAGGCTGTGTTCAATTGCAGTGCAAATATCACCGATGCATAACTACGATAATGCAAATGATTTGAGCGCAAATTCTGATTTGTTTTGTTTAAAGTTTTATCTTAACTAGAGAATGAAATAAAATCCAAAGAAAAATTAAACCGAAAATTACATCCTTTTAGTTTACACTCTCATGCATTTGTACGAGTACAAATAAGACTGCACCACAACCAAACGAAGCCTTAATTCAAAATTTTAGGACTAATATCCCAAAACATAATCAGTTCGATTTACCGTGTAAAAAAGAGAGTTCTTTCAAGGGGCGTTATAAAACGTAAATTGATTTCTTTGTTGTGGGGTTTAAGAACAAATCAAAACCATAATGTTTGAAAACAAATTGCTTTTCAAATTGAGAACAAAAATATGTTACAGGTTGAACGTGTTTTTTGTTTTCAAAACTAAAACAAATACAAAAGAAACGTTTTTGTTTTCTACCAATGTCGCAATTTCAAAAACAAATGAAAACCAAAACATTAATATTGTAAAACAACTCCCTAAAATAAAGATTTGTTTAAAAAATGCCATTTTTTTTCTTTTTCGGGGTTAAATTCTTTGAATGATTATATCAAGAAGAAGAAGATCGACTCTGCCAGTGAACACTATACAGATAGCGAGCCTCAAACGCTCATCCGCCAGTGACGCTCGTCGAACGCCATTGCTGCAATTCGAGAAGAAGAATCCAAAAATCAAAAAGAATAATGAAAAAGAAATTGATCTGAAGGGATGCCGTTGATCAGATAATTGTAGTCTGATTTTTCAATCCACATTAATTCATATTTTCGGAATAAGAAATCATCACTTCAACGGCAAACTTTTGCAAAATCAGCAACTGCACGACATTAACAACTACCATACCCTAGTTCGGCCTAGAATTGAAAGAGAGGTAAAGAGACCGAAGAGCTGCAACGCAATCCAGGAAAGAAACCGAAAGAAAAAGGAAAAGAAAATAGAAAGGAGGGCTCAGAAGGATCCATTGGTTTTTTATAATCAGAAGGGAGATTCCCTTCAGAAAATAGGTAGTTTATCAACATCACAGCCTCCTCGACATTGAAAAAATAAAAAAGAGAAAAAGCGATAGAACAGAGAATCAAACACAGAACATTCAACGAACTCCGGAGGATATCTCCCCCTCCCCCTCCCCCTAGCGGCCTCGTACCAGTTCTGACTTATGAATGCTGGGGAGTTTGGAATTCATTATATAGACGGAGACGGTTTTAGGGTTAGGGTTTCCTTTTTTTAAGTCTCGTCTATTTGTTGCCTTGTTCGTTGGTAAATCGAATTACCGATAATACCCTCTCACTTCTTTTTTCTCCAAACTATCGGGGACCCGTGCATCATTTATCAATGAAAGAATTCAATGTTGTTAAAATAATTAAATCTTTATTTTAATGATTATTATAAAAATAATTTAGTAAAATGAATTAATTATATTAATATTTTTAGCAAAAAATAATAATTATTGCTAATTATTTAATAAAATAATTATTTTTTTCATATTATTTGTTAGTGCTCTATTTTGTTTATTTTACTTTATTAATGATTAAATATTTTAATTTTTTGTAAATATCACTTAAATATTTAAAATAATTGAATATCAGTAAATATATAAAATTAGACTATAGTCATAATTAAATTAATCTATAATTAACTTTTTAACATTAACTAAATTAATCTAAGCCCAAACTCAGTGTTTAAGACTTTGGATTAGGCTTGGATTGATCCTCATTCTCACCCGATCCAAGTTGCATGTATCGTTACATTTGTAATTGGACTGGGCCAAGGTTACCAAACCAAGTGCAACCCATGTATACATTATTTTTAGGTTTTTTTTTTAATTATTTTTAGATAATATTGAAGCCCATGAACCAAAAAATTAAAACTCTTGGACTAAATTTTGATAGTGTATTAGCAGTTTTTAAAATTGTTTGGCCTAGTCCAACCCACACTTTAAGTGTAATAATATTTGTATAGGCTTACAAGATTGTCCATGTTAATTATAAAACTCTGATTTTTTTACAAATTTAAATTTGTATTTAATTCTAGTCTAGTATAAAAAATATATAACATTTCTATATATTAATATAAGATTTGTTATCTAAATATTATATAATAATATTTACCCTATATCCATATAACTTCCAAGTTGAGTTTATTAGGGGTTGTTTAGCTTGGGCCCTATCCACTAAAGCTATCATTGAACTCCAAAAGTTTGATGTCTAGTTAGACTTTGAATCTTATTATTCCTGATAATGTGTGGGTTTAGTGCATATCTCAGTTAGACCTAACTCAAAAGAAAATAATGTGTGGGTTAAGTTTTACATATTAAGGTAAGTTATGTTCTAACCTCTTAATTGTTGACCTGGGCAGTCGCAAACTGTTGACCCTGGCGGTCGAATCGTTCGATCAGAGAACCGTTTTGGCCATTTTTTGTGTTTTTATTTTTAT